ACTCAAAAACATCAAGACCAACGCGGGAGTTCGCTCGCTTCCTGGAGCGGCGGGGAAACTCTGTCCTCTGTCAAATCAATCCAACATCACAGCTTCAGTGCGGTCAAACAAACGTGCAGCAGACAGGAAGCACGTGGTCAGACCTCCGCACGGCTTTATCCAAGTCATAAATAACTTGATATATTTCTGGATTTAAACACTCACCTTTGTTCTCTTTCAGCGTTTAAATGTCTTTGTGATATTTCCATGTGTTGCAACGTTTTAAAATTTGGAGATAAAAACCTCAGCTTTTCCACCACGGGGCCAACGTTTCACGACTCCGCCATGTTTGTAGTTCTTCTGTAAATCTGAGCAGTTCAGTCCAGTGAAAAACCTTCAACGGTCCACAGTTAAAAACAAAGTTTACGGCACCAAAAACAAACAAATTAACAATTAAATGACAGGGTTTCGTTCTTTCTTTCTTTTTTAACTCTCGTTATTGATCCATGAAAACTTAAATTAAATTTACATCATTTCTTAATTTTTCTGAGCTAAACTTTGTCTTCAGCTTCCTCGGTTATAATCTTTTAACTTTAACTGCTTATATTTACAGGAGAACTACAACTACTACTGCGGTGTTGTAAAATTTCAGGTCACCTTCAGCTCAACGCGTGAAAAAGACTTTAAATCGATTCGTTTTTAACTCTTAAATTAAATGAATCGCTTTTTTATTTTGAAAGAAAAAACGTCTCTGATTTCAGCTTCTTGCATGTGAACAAGACGTTGGTCACTTTGGGAAACACTGATCCAAGGTTCTCCAGGATTATCTGGACCCGACGACTGATCGATTGATCGGTGATGAAACCATTAGTTAGCTGCAGCCCGTTAACGAGTCCCCCATCAAGGTAAACCTGGACGCTGAATAAGGATCCTTGAAAACCTCTGAACTTCAACATGAACCCAGAATGACTTTGATAACAACTCAGAACTAAAGGATCTGGACCCCTTTAAGAGGGTTTGTTAGGGGGTCCAGGTTCTGGTCTGTGGTCTGTAAAGAGTTAAAAGACTGAGGAGGGTCTATTTTTGGAGACCCGGGTCATGACTCTGGGTCTTAAGGGTCCAAACTCCCAAAGTGATCTTGGGAAAAACCCTGAACCCAGCTGGAGGGGGGACCTCTGACCTCTCTGGACCTGGAACCGGAGAAAGTCCCCTGTGGCCGCCATGACCTCGGCCTGTTACCTGGCTCTCCAGACGGACTCCAGACTACCTGCTGACCCCCTTTAACGAGCTTCTGTGTTCTGGAGGTCCAGTTAAGTCCCCCCACCCCGGTGCCCCCCTGTTAGTGTAGTTTTGTCTTACCGTAAACTCGGAGCCAGCCCTGCTGCTGGGACACGGTGTCCACCAGGATCCGGTCCACCAGCGGATCCAGGAGTCCTCCGTGCAGAGAGTCCACGTCGCCTGCCAGCGAGTCCGTCTCCATATCCAGACCGGTAACAAAAACTTGTTCTCTGTAAAACAAACCCTCCAGAAGTGGACCTGGACCCGGTAGGTGTGAGAGTAAGGGTTCGGGACCCGGTAAAAGTCGGTGTGTGGTCCGTCCCGGTCCGGTTTCCGGTCTCTGACCGTCCAGCTGCTTCCAGCTAGCCGTTAGCCGAGGCGGCAGCCGCCGGCGGAGGTCCGGCAGCCCGGCTGGCTCTCCCTCATGGTTCCGCTGTCCCGGGTTAGCTTAGCGCGGGTTAGACTCCCAACAGACCGGGTACCGGGAGAAGCTGGACCCCCTCTCCGTCCTGCCCGTGAAACGTCCACCAAGAAGCGGCCGTTAAGTCCCGTGTGAGCCGCTGGAAGCGAGGCGGACTCCCGGCGTGTGTCTCCGGCTGGCTGCCCCTCACTGAGTCCCGAGCCGGGCGCGAGCCCGCGACCCGCCCCGGGAGCGAGCCCGGAGACGCGAGAGCGCGCACCAGCGGACTGAGCGAACACTGTGTTACCGAAGAGTCGATTAATCGATTCAAGTCAATAAGCTTTACTGGCATGAATGTTCAGGAAATTCAGACAGAAACAATAAAAAAATATATAAATAATAAACAAGAAAGTGAAAATAACAAACTAACTAACCAAAAACAGAATATGTATCTCTGCACATGTTCTTTTTTAAATGTTTCTTGTTGTCCACCAAAGTGTAACCTGGTAATAAAGCTGATTCAACTGACAGAAAAAATGAACAGAAAACATTTTCATAAACAGTTTAAAATAAAATGTCAACTGTGCAAATCAATGTCCGGGCGAAGGACGAGCAAATTATTATTTTTTTAATTATGTTTGTACTTATTTACCAACAACACACCTTTATTTTGGTCACAGGTTTCCAAAACTTTCTGTAACAAAACATCTAAAAGCAAAAATCCTATCAGGTGGGGCTCCTCATCTAATAAGTTTAGGGGTCCCTGATGTGAAAAGGTTTGATAAGCACTGCACTTTACTGAGGCTGAAACATCTAACTGTGATTATTTTGATCAGAGTCGTATTTCTACCAAAGAGGTTTTCTCAAGTCTGTAGAATATGATCTGTCTGCATCTGCTGATTCTGATTCGGAAACATTTAGAAACAGTTTAAATAAAAAGAAAACTCCATCAGTTCTCTGGCTCCAGGGTTTCCAGCATGTTTTACATCCCAGTTTCTGTCACTTTGTACAAACATGATATGAACAGATGAAAACTGTCCCGACCTGATCATAATTACTGATAAGCCTTAATTAATCTTAGGTGCATGAGATTAATTATCCCGTATATAATTACACTCTGAGATACTAAGTCAACATTTTGAGAGAAGTCAGAATTATCAGAAAGTGAAAGTTTTAACTGACACACTAGATCAAAACGTCAGATTATTACGTTTTTAAGTCATAGTTTTGATTTAGTATCACTTAATTCTTACTTTTATGTCATAATTTTGATCTATAAAGTCCCAGTTTAGATTTTAAATCGCTTCATGTGAACATTTATATTATATTTCTGATCTGTAAAGTCATAGTTTTGACTTCAAAACTAGCATTTGACAACTTCTTTCTTCACTTCTCTCATTTAATATCACATGTCCAGGGTCATTTGACTAGATTTATATCCGTTATTTATTTATTTATTATCCTTATTTGTTATCACTTCCTCTGCTGAGATGATTTGTTTAACTTCGCTCTGTAGTTTTCTGTTGGACTGAGGTTTGTGATCAGGTCACCTCTTCGGTATTGATTCAAATATTTCTGATGATTTAAACGGTAAATGTCTCGATGCGTTTTTCCTCCTGCAGGCAGAGAAACTCGAGCAGGACTCTGCCTCCACCTGCTGCTGTCTGCAGGTCATCACAGGACGGCAGCTGCTCCCCACTGGAGGGACGTGAAGAAAAGCATGAACTCAAATATATTGTATGTCTATGTTTTAATGAACTCTTTTATGTACTTTTTATTATTATTCTTATGTTTTAATTTTCATTGCAAAAACTAGACAGCTGCATTTTGCTTCCTAACTATTTTCACTTTTTATGCACACAATAAAACGTTTTGTCATTTTTTATGTCATTGAACCTTTAAGTACATTTATAAACATGTAAAATACACACAAACACAAAATAAATATTTAATACATAAAACAAAATGAAAGATCCGTTTATATATATTTTCATGCTTTTATAAACATGTGTTGTAAAGTGTAATTAACTCTTTAACTGTTTTAGTTTTGTGCTTTTTACTCTTTGCAGAGACTAAATAGTATTTTGATCAGAAGAATCAGTTTTTAATGGCCAGGTACATGTGCACATACATTCGGTCTTATATTTCTCTCAGAGTTCATACAAAGAACAGAGAAGCAGCAACAAGGAAACAGCGTTTCACACACCATAAACAAAAACAACAACATTTGTATACAGCAAGACAATAATGTAGAGAAGGAGAGTGCAGAGAATGGTGGTTAATTAATAAATAAATCTTTTTGCGCAGGTGTATCTTGACGTAGGTGGATTTATTTGTTGTGTGGAGCCAGTTAAAAATGGAAAACAACCATAAAATTAGCTCAGCGTGAGATCGAATTATATTTTTATAAATTGACATGGGTCTCTGTGTGAAAAGTGTAATTGTTTTAGAATTATGACAGTTTAAGTATCAGCGGGCTCCCTTAAATGTAAAGACAGAAGAACATTCTCATTCGGTCATTTTAGCTGAAACCATTTTAACAGTAAATTGACTCGATTGTGTTTGTGGCGCCCAGTAACAACACAGCTTGGATACGTGTACAGACGTATGAACCAGTTTTGCAGCCTCAGTAACTTCTGTGTAAGAGTTTGTTCGTGGCTCCATTTCAGCTGACATCTGCGGCCCAAATGTTCCTAAAATGACACAAAAACACAAGTTTCTCTACAAATTTGAAATGTTTTATTTGAAAGAGCCGTCAAAGCATCTTTCATAAACATTTTGCTTTGTTGGTAGTTTTACTTATACATGCTTTATCACCTTTATTAGTTATTAGTGATATGATTTCTGTGATGTACTTCATGTAACACTCGGCCCCGCCCACCATAGAAACCTCAGACCAATCAAAACGTTTGAAACCCAACTGGTGTTGTAGCAACAATACAAGATCCGTAAGTGTGATTGGCTGTAAAATTTTAAAGTGCTCTGAAGCTCCAACATATTTACAATATTTACAGCTACTCTATCATAAACATGACGAATACATAACAAACAGTAAACAGGTAGAACAGTTTAGAAGCTATATATTTAATTATTCTCTATATATATAATAGAATTAAACACAACTTTACTGTCCAGCAGAGTGAAAACATAGAAACACGTTAAACAATACAAATTTACGCATAAAACATTAAAACATAACATACTAATATTTGCTGATTGCACCTGGATTAATATATTTGAAAGATTTATCAAAGTAAAACTTCTGCTGTCATTGTTCAGAGCTTTTATTCTGAAGTCCTGAGAGCGGGACTTCCGGTGTGACGTGCTGACGCGCTAAGCTGCGGTGCCGTACCGGACAGGTTCCGGCTCCACGATGTCCAGCCTGCAGGTTCTGAGGTCTCTGGTCACCGAGAGGTTAACGGCGGCGGCGGAGGAGATCCTCGTGCTGGTGGAGAGGGTGCTGCTGGAGCGCGAGGAGGGGCTGGTCCTCCGGTACCGACCGGACCACGTGAAGCGGAGCCCGGACAGGGAGCCGCCGCAGAGCCGCGGAATACCAGGTCCGGTATCATAAGAGTCTGTGGTCCTGCTCCAGCTGCAGGGTCACAGAGGCTTTATCATTAAACCGTTTATTAACCAATAATAATCAGATATATTATTGATTATTGATTAATCGGTTGAACGTGTTCTGTGTTAGTGTCGTACAGGTTCTCTTCTGACAGCAAGAAGAGGTCATATTCAGCTTTTTGGCTTCTTCCCCGCTCTGTTATTGTGTTAAATGTCTTTGTTGTTCGTGTAAAAAGGTTTGCAAAGTGAAAAAGCCCAAAGGGAGCTCCCATCTCCCACAGAAAACTCTGCTCCTGAACTGAACACAGCTGGATTGTAGTCCAGTCCTGAGTCACTATAGCGGTTGGCGTGGCACGTTAGAGCGCCTCCAGGCGGTCAGAGGACGTGAAGCTGCGTTACTGTGATGTGGAGACGGAGCTCGTTAAACGTGCTACAGATTAATAACTCGCCGCTCTGAAACTCTGGATCCTGTCTGGGTTCTGAAGCTGGTTCTGGTTGTTCTGCTTGTGGTTCAGGATCAGAGTCGAACATGTGTGAAGGCCAGGGGCGAGTTCAGCGCAGAGGAAACAGCAAACCGCTTCCCCCCCCCCCAACAGAAACGGCGGTGCCTTGAACACACCGTTGTGAACGCATTCCTGCCTTTTTAACGTCGCTGTGTTTACAAACGTGTCGCAGCTGATTGGGTAACACCCAAGCGGGAAGCTTCCGGTCAGCGATCTGACGCAAACGTGGAAGTACCTTAAACCTACATTCTGTTGAACGGCCAGCAGGGGGCGACTCTTCCGGCTCCTTTAGAATTAAACTGTTTCTACTTCTCAGCTGATTTATTCCCTGATGAGTTTCTGGTCTCAGTCGCCAGTTTCAAGTCTTCTTCAACACAGCACGGCGGCGCCCTATCAGCCAAACTCGAGGCTTCAAAACGGCAGTCCACAAACCAACGGGTGACGTCACCGTGACTACGTCCGCTTCCTATATACAGTCTATGGTAACGCCTACCTCGAAGCCAGGAGTTTCAACGTTTTCGGATTGAACGACATGTTTCAAACGTTCCGCAGCGGGCTTCGAGGTGTGTTTTCTCCCGTGTGGTGGGCGTGTCTCAGGTGTTACCCAATCAGCTGTTTGTGAACACAGCGGAGTTAAAATGAAATGAAAATGCAGCGCGCTTGCGTCCACAGCGGGGTGTTCGAGGCACCACTGTTTCCGTTGAAAAAAGGTTTTACTGGGTTTTGTCGACGCTGAACTCGCCCCTGTTACGTTTCATAAAAGCATGTCGTTAAATCTGAAAACACTGCCGGCTTGGATCCGCCCTACTCTGCTTCTGATTGGCCAGTTGTCCTTTTCGTTGTACGTCATTAATAGTTTGGCCTGTTTTAATTTTAATATTTATTTTTCTACTGTATAACTTTGGTCAGCTCTGGTTGTTTTTAAATGTGCTTCATAAATAAAACTTGACCGAGGTACTGAGCATGTGCAGCTCCCAACAAAGATCTAATAGAAGTGAGATGCTTCACTCGGTAGCTAAAAGCGTCAAATGTTGGTAGCGCTGCCTTGAACCCCTAGACCGTACTCTGTCTCCTTATTTACAGACTCTCTCCCTCTACAGACGCTCAGCAGCTTCACGGCTTCAGTCTCCAGCAGCAGCCTCGCGACGAGCACCCGGAGCTTCCTGCCATCAAGCAGGAGCAGGGGGCGGAGCCAGGGGAGGCGTGGAGCTCTCCTGAGGTTCAGGCTCCTCAGACGATGGTGCACCAGGACGCCCAAGGCTTCATCTACAGCCTGGAGTGTAAGAGCGAGCAGCCTCCGGTGGACTCTGCGCCCCCTGAGGAGGCTCCCAAGGTGGAGCTGGCGCACGATGACATCCTGCCGAGCACCTCCTTTGAGCCGTCTGATGCTCCGCCCCCTCAGTTCAGCCTCCCGGCAGACCCCCCTCCTGCCGCCTGCGAAGACGCCGACAGCGCTTCCTGCCGCTGTAGAGTTTGCGGCATGATGTTCAGCTACCGCGGCTCTCTGGTGAACCACGCGGAGATCCACGGCGACGACGAGCGCTGCCTCTGCGGCGTGTGCGGCGTGCCGCTGCCCGACAGGGAGAACCTGGTGGAGCACCTGCGGACGCACGTCAGGGTCCACGTCTGCCAGTTCTGCGGGAAAAGCTTCCGGGGGAAAGTGGAACTGGCGGTGCACACGCGCTGCCACACGGGCGAGAAGCCGTTCAGCTGCAGAGTCTGCGGGAAGTGCTTCAGCCGCAAGGGCAACATGGCGATCCACATGAGGACGCACACGGGCGAGAAGCCGTACCGCTGCGCCGTCTGCGGGAAGTGCTTCACAATGACCTCGTCCATGATCCGCCACGCCAGGACGCACTCCGGCGAAAAGCCTACAGCTGCCACTGCTGCTTCAAGGGCTTCACCAACAGCTCGGACATGAAGATCCACATGAGGACGCACACCGGCGAGAAGCCCTACACCTGCCCCATCTGCGGCAAGGGCTTCGCGCTCAGCACGCCGCTCAAATACCACATGAAGCACCACACGGAGGAGCGGCCGAACTGCTGCAGCGAGTGCAGACGCTGCTTCAGCGACGTCTACACGCTGCGACGCCACATGAAGACTCACGACAAGGAGAAGGCGTCGTGACACGAAGGCCCAGAGGTTATCTGACTCTAGACAGGAAGTCCTAAAATGGACAAAGGGGGTGGAGCCTGACTCACCACAGCTGAATCTGATACTGACAAAAGTTTTACTTTTATATTGAAACGTTGAGATGAATGAAGACTTGTTTATATTAAAGATTTTCCTCCAGATGTTTCCATCTCAGCTGTCAGGCTGGATTTCTTCTTCTCTGTTCTCTTTCTTCTTCGGCTGCAGGTGAGAGAAGCGGTGCGGATTTTCTTTCCCTTCTGCGTAAAATTCAAACCAAGGCAGTCGCCCCGTTTTTAATTCAGAGGGGAGCGTCATCATCATCATTTTAGCAGCGTGACAGCAAACAAAAAGCCTCCATCACTGGCGAGCACTGCCGAATACAACCAGCAGTCAGCAGCGTTTTAAAAAGCGGCGGCTGTAACTGCTTCTATCCGGTTTGATGGATAAATTAGACTTTACTGTCCTGCTTAGTGGAAATGTGACTTCTCCAAAACATAGAAATACAACCAGCATACCAGAGTTACGATTTACTAACACCCACAATAAAGAGGACAGAATTACGTGTTCATTCTAAAATACTGCACGTGTAATTTTGGTACCTGTTATAATAATAATCATCTTTATTTGCAGAGCACTTTTCAAAACCAGGCAAAGTACTTTAACAAGTGTAAAGACAATAATACCCCAAAACAATACAAGATAAAAGCAAGAAAACATTGAAAAGACTGTTCTGGGTGATTTACTGCGTAGATGACAACAGGAGCAAACACAACGTATTTAAATGAGGGTTTTGTGGTTTGAACGGTTTCCTCCACGGAGAGTCGGGAGGGAAAGCAGCCACTGCGTAAAAACCTTGGTTTGCTTCGCTCAGTGCGTCCCGAGTACGTGGAGATCGTCTGTACCTGCTTGTGCCAGCACACCTGAAACGCCAGCAGATCGTGCTTCATCCCGCCAGAAGGAACGACCGCCGACCGCCCGCCCCGTTCCCTCCCCGACACCTACGACGGGTTGCGTCTCTGTTCCGACCGGCGCCCTGTGAACACTTGGTTATCGTTCCCTCTGGCTGGCTGGATTTTCCGCACAACATACGAGTCAAGCCAGGCCATGGTGTGATAGGAGGTCGCCTTATTTTATGGTGCTGAGGACAATCTTAAGACAGTTGACATGGAGGAATTGGCCCTTTGTAAGGTGGAGTGCACCCCCAAAAGCCAATACCCATGAGATGAAACCGTTGAAATTTGCTTTACTGCGTTGCCAACAGTAAAGGAAAATACAAAAAAACTATTCTAGTCATACAGTTCAGCGAATAAAAACAATAAATCATTGTATTTCCGTACATGGATGCAGAATAATATTATCTAATGTGGTTTATTTCTCATCACGGCTGTCTCTCCTCCTCCAGCAGCATCTCTGCAGCTTCCTGTCAAACGCATTAAACACAGACGCCGTTGCGCTCACGTGAAATTGTGTTTAGACTTGTTAATAAGTGTATTTGCATGTTTCCCCTCCCCAAACTGCAGATCCACGAAGGCAACAGTAGTAAATGAACAGCAGACGCACGCCGTTAGTAGATTACGTGTTCATTTGCTGGCGATGTCACGTTTGCACACGTCGTTACTCACGCAGACCTTTAGTGAATCTGACCCCTAAGAGTCCAACACAGACCAAGACCACGTTAGAGGTCCAGCGTGATGCAGTTAGGAGGATCTATCGGTGCTTTCAGACCTTTCATGTGGTGTGAGCCGCAGTAGTTTCCCACATTCTGTTGAGCTCAGCACGCCAAGGGGAGCGAGACAAGAGCATAAAATCATTCTGATAGGTCAAAATATTACAAGCTCTTAGCTGGTGACGTGTGTGGAAACAACTCCATACTGCTGAAACACCAGAGGGCCTAAAGTTAGCTTCTTCCACAAAGCTCAACAACAAACATGTATAAATGTAAAAATATTAAAGTCACAGGATGTGAAAAACACAGAGGATGTGCGCAGCTACTAAATTAGTGTGACGGATTTTTGTGTGCTGTAAAACGGGGGGCAGGTCTGGGGGGTCAGGACCTGGCTGGTGAGGCCGGCTTCAGACGGGAGGTTTTGGCGAGCGGTGGACGAGGATTCAGATCTTTATTAAAGTAAAAGTCCCGCATTGCAAATGTTAGTGAAGTTAAAGAAAAGTAGATCAGCTGTGCAGCAGGATGTTGTCTGATGATTCTTTTCACACCTTCACAAACCAACAGTCCAAACCTCAAATATTAACAACGCAGTAAAATTAGTGCAATAACGAAAAATGACTTTATGATCAAAGTAGCTGGTCGACAGTGAATCAGCTGATCGTGTCAGCTGTACTTGTACAAACTGTTTTATTTTATAAACATATGTAGAAATATGACTTTGTAAAGAAACTCAAGTACAAGAACTCTCTCTGAAAGTGGCGTGAAAATCAAACGCCTCCTGTTTGTACTTAGCTACAGTACTTGAGTAAATGTCGGCCACGACCTTTGATGCTCGCCGTCCAGAGCACGAGGGCGATGCAGGGCCAGATGCTGGTCGATCGCGCAACACGTTTAACGCAGGTGAAGCTTCACGCAGCGGCGAGAGCCGACACACTGGATGATGAAGACGTTCTTTATTTTCATAACCTCATTATACAAAGCAGAAAGTAAAACAGGTTAAGAAAATAAAGTCAGCTAAACTCGGGAGAGAGTCTCCTGTAGAAGCTTTAAAGGAGCTCACGGACTTTTCTCTCCACGCCGTGCGTGTATTTAACGTAACTGAACCTTTAAACAACGTTTCTGTAGAAGTGAACTTGATGTACGACCTTCAGACGAGGAGCTGAACATGACAGAACATTAACGGTTCGCCTGCAGCAGCTGAGGCTCTGCTGCGTCGCTCGGGGGCCCTTCAGTCGGCCTCATGCGGCACTCGTGGACGTGTTCAAAGCCCCCGCTTCCTGTCTGTAAGGGCGTCTAAGTTTACAGCGTCTGCAAACTGTAAGCACGAGCAGCGAGTGGAACCTTTTCAGCTGTTACCGTTAGGCCCTGTTCCAGGTGTTCAGAGCCTCAGGCCCCGCCCACGAGACGTTTTGCAGCCGTCCAGCAAGTTTGAAAACGCTGCCGACCCCGTTTTTAGTTTTGAAACTATGAGTAGCGTTTTAGTGCAGCCGGGCAAAAACGGAGGACTTTAGAAACGATGACGCGGACGCTCGCGTTTGGCTCTCAAAGGTCATGCAAAGCAGAAACACGACGCTGCTGACAGAGTTTTGGTGTTTTTATTACAATATTTTGCACCGTGTAAACAACACTTACGGCTCCCGGTCCATTTCCCGCCGCCACTGTCTCTTTGTGCTCCCGTGTTCCGTTCAGTAACGGTCCCCGCTCGTTATCGGTCTGTGCAAAATAATAAGAACTTTATTCTTTCACCAAATCGTCTGAAACTACAGAACAGACCATCTGCTTCATGTTTAACGGCCACCAGATGTGTGGCCGTTCAGGTGCACTGAGCACGTGTGAGCCGGTGTAACCAGCAAGCAGGTGGTCTGTTCTGAACACAGGGAGAGCAGCGACGCTGAAGAACCACAGCGGAGATTTCTCTGCGTGGTGGAACGGTTACTGCGGCGGCGGCGGGAAACAATGCAGAGTACAAGCGTAGAAGTGTTATTTACACAGTACGAAGTATTTTAGAACCAAAACTAAAACCGTGTCAGCAGCATCGTGTTTCCGGTTTGCATGAGCGTCACCGTTTCCTCCTGTCAGCGCGAACACGCCAAAACGGGGTCAGCAGCGTTTTCAGGCTTCAACGTTTTAGTGTGGACGGGAGGAAACGCAGAAGCTCTGAGGTTTAAAGCGACGACGTGGAGTGTGGGCGGAGCCTGAACTGTTGTTTCAAAAGGTGAAGGCAGACAATAACAAACCACCTCCCCCTTCTTAAAGCCAACAGCAGAACCCGCAGCCTGAGAAGTATTTTACCATCCTGTCCTTTGTTTTCTGCGGTTTCAGGTCTGTAAACCCGCTAACGCTGATCTGACCCGCCTCAACACTAAAAGTTTTCTATCATTAACAGTCCTGCTGGAGCAGCGGACGGCACGGCGCCTCGCTGAAGGTCGTCGTCTCTGTCCTGGAGCCGTGTGGATCACATGTCCCAGACCTCAGCGGCCTTCTTGATCAGCTGCTGAGCCACGAGGGCGACAGAGTCACGTCGAGTCCTGCGGCTCCTCCTGAGCCTCCTTCGGCCCGCTCTAAAGGGGCCTCCTCCTCCTCCTGCTCCTCTTTAAGTCGACGTCTCTTCGCCACCGTTGGTTGCAGGAACAGTAACGGGCTGTCCAGGGGGAAGGTGGGGGTGCACACGCCGCGGTTTCTTCTGGGCGCCGTCGCCTGGGTGGCTTCAACACACAAAGACATGAGTGACGCCGTGAGCCGGGCTCCGGTTCAGCAGTACGAAGGGTCACACCTGGTGACGTGCGGGACTACACACCTGTACTCCGGACGGGAGCCTTCATGATCAGCTGCGTGCCGACCGATCTGGTCTCGGGGGGGTCGGTCTGGGAGGCGGCGTGTCTCACAGAAGGAAAGATTCGACAGGCGGCGTCCTGAAGAGGAAGCAGAAACAAAGCTATATTAAAACCAGACCAAACTGGACGTTACTTGGAGAAAAGAAAGCGAGTGTTGAACTACCTGGTTAAGAAAACATGCGTCTGTAACTTTATTCCAGCTGTCGTTGTACTTTACTGTGAACAGGTTAGCGTAGCGTAGCCCCGATCTAACCAAACTCCATTCAGAAAACAAACATTTTAGAAGTTGTTGTCCTGCTGACAGACCTGAATAAGCATGAATTCATATGTTCAACAAATCCGCATCATGTTGTAGTTATTTCAGCATCAGTTTGATCCGTTTAATCACAGCTAAATGTTGACTTTGGGTTCATACAGCTGTGGTAACGGCGAGTTGTGTTTATTCACGTTATCGCGTCGTGTGTGAACACTTGCAGGAGATGTGCTCACGCCAGGAAAGCGTCGCGAGGCGAAACTTCGCGTTTGGTCTGAAAGCAGTTAAACACGTCACTGAAGTACACTAAAGACTGAAGAAGCAAACAGGAAAAGAAAACCGACAACATCCGAGCAGCAACTGATCGGTGACAAGTGATGTGACCTGCAGATAAAATGTTTTCGTTCTGGATGTGGGGAAAAAAATCTTTCCCAGCTACAGAGTTCTGCATTTGACTGCGGCCGGTGTGACAGTTTAAGCGGTGGATAGATGAACAGGTGTGTCGCAGGCGTGGCTTCAGGATCCACTGACTGCACACCAGGAAAAACTGGTTACTGGGACTAAAGAAGACAACAATGAAGAATATTAGTCACTGATTGACAGTGTGAAAGTTCGCTGTGCCACACGAGCGACACCAGACGCCGTCGACGCGTGCGTGCTTCTCTGGACGTGTGACGACGTGACGTGATCTGCTTCCCCCCCACCGAGTGAATCCGGCTCTGTGGAGGTGTTTGAAATACAATCGTTTCCTCATGTAACACGATCCTCTCATGTTTTATTTGCTTACTGTAATCTGTTACCAATCAGGAACTTTTAGTGCCACGTATAATTAATTAGCTTTGGTGATCAGGTGCTACACGCTGACTAACTAAAAGTAGAAATATGGAACAGAAAACGTTCTATAAGAACATTAAAAAGAATAGAGGAAAATAATAATACAACTATTTGCAGAGAAAGAACGTGGCAGATATTTACATGTGCAGTATAAGACCCTGTAGTGGGGCTCAGACCCTGTAGTGGGGCTCAGACCCTGTAGTGGGACTCAGACCCTGTAGTAATGGGCTCAGACCCTGTAGTAATGGGCTCAGACCCTGTAGTAATGGGCTCAGACCCTGTAGTAATGGGCTCAGACCCTGTAGTAGTGGGCTCAGACCCTGTAGTGGGCTCAGACCCTGTAGTAGTGGAGCTCAGACCCTGTAGTAGTGGAGCTCAGACCCTGTAGTAGTGGAGCTCAGACCCTGTAGTAATGGGCTCAGACCCTGTAGTAGTGGAGCTCAGACCCTGTAGTAGTGGAGCTCAGACCCTGTAGTAGTGGGCTCAGACCCTGTAGTAGTGGAGCTCAGACCCTGTAGTAGTGGGCTCAGACCCTGTAGTAGTGGGCTCAGACCCTGTAGTAGTGGAGCTCAGACCCTGTAGTAGTGGAGCTCAGACCCTGTAGTAATGGGCTCAGACCCTGTAGTGGGCTCAGACCCTGTAGTAGTGGGCTCAGACCCTGTAGTAGTGGACTCAGACCCTGTAGTAGTGGAGCTCAGACCCTGTAGTAGTGGGCTCAGACCCTGTAGTAGTGGAGCTCAGACCCTGTAGTAGTGGAGCTCAGACCCTGTAGTAGTGGAGCTCAGACCCTGTAGTAGTGGGCTCAGACCCTGTAGTAGTGGGCTCAGACCCTGTAGTAGTGGGCTCAGACCCTGTAGTAGTGGACTCAGACCCTGTAGTAGTGGAGCTCAGACCCTGTAGTAGTGGGCTCAGACCCTGTAGTAGTGGGCTCAGACCCTGTAGTAGTGGAGCTCAGACCCTGTAGTAGTGGACTCAGACCCTGTAGTAGTGGGCTCAGACCCTGTAGTAGTGGGCTCAGACCCTGTAGTAGTGGGCTCAGACCCTGTAGTAGTGGGCTCAGACCCTGTAGTAGTGGGCTCAGACCCTGTAGTAGTGGGCTCAGACCCTGTAGTAGTGGGCTCAGACCCTGTAGTAGTGGACTCAGACCCTGTAGTAGTGGGCTCAGACCCTGTAGTGGACTCAGACCCTGTAGTGGACTCAGACCCTGTAGTAGTGGGCTCAGACCCTGTAGTAGTGGGCTCAGACCCTGTAGTAGTGGGCTCAGACCCTGTAGTGGGCTCAGACCCTGTAGTGGGCTCAGACCCTGGTGCACCATTCTCATCTGATTTCAGTTTCTGCACCTCTGCTTGTTCTGAGTCATACAGATGTTGGATCTCAGTTCTAGACTCTTATGGACGTAAGAACGCGTGTAAACCCACCGTGGCACGAACCGGACCGCCGACGTGGAACATTTGGACGGTTTGTTGACGTTTTGGAACAGCGACAATCCTCGTGCAGCTAACGATGTTAGCCCAGAAGCATTTACATCTACACGACGACACATGACGTAAGTTATTAAAGTTACCGGAACGCGCTTCCTGGTTTAGCGGTCGACTGATCCTGAAGCCGCGCCTGCGCGACATCTGGGACGGTCACCGGTTAATCCAGCCACCGTTTAAACCGTAACAGCTACAACGTTAGCCGCGTTGTTAGCTACCTAGCTAAGTTACACCGCCGTGTTTATTTTAAATATAATGCAGGCGTACTTACAGGCTGCGGCTGCGGATCTCCGGGCCCGAACAGAGTCGGAGTCGCATCGTCTTTAAGGACTAAACGTTGCGCAAATCCCGAGTTGTACTGCTGCCGGTTGAGGAAGCAGTCCTCCCTGAAGTGATTGGAGCACAGCAACAGGTTGGGGCTGTAGTCCTGAGGAACGGTGTTGAAAATGAACTTTATCCACTGATTCTTCAGGGACTCGTCCTTCGGAAGGCGGTGCATGGACGGCTGCCCCTCGCAGTGCAGCACGCAGCGCCTCCTCGACATGGCGATCCCGCTCCGACCAGCTCGGTCAGAGGGCGCGAGCTCTATGACGCGCGTCTCCCTTTCATCTCTGTGTCGTCACCTGCGCTCGTCACGGAGATCAGAGGGAAACGGCTGGACCGCTCGGGCCCCGGGACATGTCCCCACCGCCAGCTGTAAAAACTAGGACCCTGAAGGCGGATTTTCTTCTCGTGAAATCTGAAGCCCGACTTCACGAGTAGCAGCTGAATGACGTCACAGAACAATGTCAGCGCTGTGAATGTAAACCATAAACTAAAAGGCAACAAAAAGTGTATCTGCATGTATTTAAATTATAATAATACACACGGTCATATAGTAAAACCTGATCTGCATGTACACTGATGGAGGAATATGTTAGGCTTATTAGGCAGCTGGCTACATTTATTCATTTAGCTGACGCCTTTATCTAGAGCGACTTACAATTGCTGTACATGTCAGAGGTCACACGCCTCTGGAGCAACGAGGGGTTGATGGGCCACAGCGGGGAGTTGAACCAAACCAACGGCATGCGTCTTATCCATTGCGCCATCACCACAGTCAAGAACCTCAAAGTCTTCTTCTCTGCATAAGTTATTGTTAAAAATGCCAAAACATTAGGAAGTGTCACCTACAACGCTGACTGACTTGAGGGTCACCAACTGATGCAGGGAACAAGTAACCTAGAGGATATTTATGTCAGCTGTTGCAGTTAAACTGCCATCCTTTTAATAAACACCTACAGCACTGCTGAGGGTGCAGCTGTTGCAAACTTTATCACGGTCAGCCGTGCTTTTCCTTCACTTTCGGCGTCGTGCGCCGCCGTGCACCTGGAACGCGTTGAGGTCGGAAGTTTCAACTGGGAAATATCCCAGTGGCGTAAGTATTACATGAAGAGGTTTAAAAATGACATCGATCCTAAATGTACTTTCTGTAAGACTCAGGTAGAAACACAATAATAATAATAATAATAATAATCTTTATTTATAGAGCACTTTTCAAAAAACAGTTACAAAGTGCTTTAACAAGTGTAAAAACAATAAAACATAAAAACAATTACATGCTAAAAACAAGAACAAATAAGACTAGAATACACGTTTAAAATAAATATATTAAATATATTTTAAAAAATAAAATAAAAATAGAATCAAATAAGAAGAAGAAAGGCTCTCCTATAAAAGTATGTTTTAAGAAGGGACTTAAAAGAGTTCACGGACTCAGCCGACCTGATTTCTGAGGATCTCAAGGTACGTGCTGGTGCGTATGGGACTAAAAGGTCAGAAATATAACGAGGCGAGAGGCCATGAAGAGCTTTAAAAGTGATCAATAACACTTTAAAAAAGTCTATTCTAAAACACACCATATATTATTACATCTGTTCTGGCACGGTACTTTTGTAAAACAATTTTGGCGGGATGTACGTACATTTATTAACCATTATATATATCCAGGTTTCAGCTTGTTCTGAGGGGGGTGTAGCCAAGTCTGTGGTCTGGTCGCTGCCACGGTCTCTGTTCCTTATCCCACATTAGAAAAAGGTCAGTTTCAAGTTTTTATACAGTCTATGGTTCCAAAGTAAAGTCTAAAGAGATCTTAGATCATTTCATTCATTCTTTTTGTCTAATAGAGAGGAGTGAATCAAAGCAATTACATGTGTTGAGGAGTTTTCTACTGTATCAGGCTTAAGAATGAACTTGAACAAATCTGTTCATTAGGCCACTTCAGGAATGTGAACAGAAGTTAATGGTTTCTAGTGAAGAACCCAGTTACATATCTGGCTGTGATAAGAATGAAAAACTCACTGGAAATGCCTACTGAAATATACAAAGAGTTAGATAAGATCTTATTTAATTTCATTTGGAGGAACAAATGTCATTATTTAGGGAAAGATGCAACATCAAAAATGGAGGTCTGGAAGTTTTAAAACCTTAAATAATACTTTCAAAAGTTAAATGGCTAACTAAGTTGATAAGAAAGACACAAACATTTGTAACACCTTCTTACGGAAGTCCTAAACGGCCAACGGCAGCGCCCACTGTCTTTAGCGCCCCTAGTGGCAGCGCCCACTGTCTTTAGCGCCCCTAGTGGCAGCGACCAGACCACAGAATTGGCTACAACCCCTGCTGCGTTAATGCGGCATTCAGACCAAACGCAAATTTAATCCACGCAACGCTCTCCTCGCGGGGGTTTTATTGCTGGACAACCACTGAGTGTTCACACAACGTGATAACGCGAATAAAATCAAACTGATGCTGAAATAACTACAATATGATGTTTTCTGAACTCAGCAGGGAGTTCAACCTCCTCGCTTTCTTTTTTCCAATTAATGTCCAGTTTTTATATAAATATGAAGTCGTAGACCAGCAGAGATAACGACACTGACAACAACACTGGAGCGTCATGAGACTTTCATGCTTGGCCATCGCGTCGCTGGCACTGCACCATTAGAGCTCCATTAAACCTGGAGTTTTACTGAGAAGAAGTATTAAGATAAACAGATCATCAGTTAAATTGTAAATTTAGTTATATGTTACAACAAAGAAGCGTCCCCGACTCGCCCCCCTCGCATTGCCTCGCCGCTCTACGCATCGACTTTGTATGTAGACGCACCGCCCCCGACGCTCACTTCGCTTTTGGTCTGAAAGCACCATAAAATTAAAAGACATTAAAAGACATAAGTGGTCGTTCCGCCTCGCTTTAAAGAACTTCTCCTCAAAGTGTTCCAAACATTGTTCTCAATTAACTTCATAAAAGCGATGAAACGAAAACTCATTCATGCCATAAAATGAGCTCAAATAGTGGCTGAAAGACTGAATCTCAACATGTTCAGTCTCTGAGACAGACTGTAAGACACTAACCTAAATAAACAGCCTACGTTCATATTAAAATGTAGTATTTCTGCATCCCTACCAAACTGCTCAATATTCAGCCTCACATAAGAAAAATGAAACCCGTTTATTTTAACGGCTGCGACAGGCTCCTGTGAGTGCAAATAAAAAATATTATTGGGCGTTCCACCCACAAGGTTTTAGCTTCTGTGAGAAACGGTCGCGGTTTGGGTTTAGCTGCACCCGGCTCTCTGTGGGGGCGGGGTTTATGCAAATATTACAGAGCGACGTAGATCAGAAACGGGACGAACGTGCTGGACGTGCATGTTTTCAGGCGCCTGCTGACCACGAGGACAGCCACCAAGTACATTTCCTTTATTACGCTCACATAGGCCTGCTTTTACTTACTGAACTTTATATTAAAGGCACAGAACACTAATTTCATTCAAACTACTGCAGCGACACGTGAGCGAGCTTCCCGCCTCCAGAGCGCGTGTTCACTCACTCAGACTTCACTCGGCTGAAAAGTTGGCGGCCAGCGACGTTAGAGTGGCGGTGGATATTTTAACAGCAGTCAAAACGCAGGGTGCGGACGTTGGTTCGGGTTGCGCGACAGGCTGCGTCATTAACAAGCCGGACCGGCGGGTGGAAAAATACGGAAAACAGACGAGTTCTGTGTCTTTTGGCGCACTGCTGATGGGGGGGCGGGGCAAGCCGGTGTGTTTACCTGAGGTGGAGCCACTCGTGTGATTAACAATGTTTTAAATAATAATAATGTTGGTGGTGATTAAAACCTGCCGTCACACGGTGGGGTTTACAACCACGGTGTCAACGTCACCATGTCTGTCGGCTAGAGGTGTAACGGAACACAACAATCTCGGTTCAGTGCGTGCCTCGGCTTTGAAGTCACGGTTCGGTTTATTTTCGGTGCAGCGAGGGAAACAAAATGCAAACATTAAATTGCTGCTGGTTTATTATGAACTTTTGTAAACATCCAAATTAGTTCACAACTTTCAAATTACACGTAATAAATACATTATATAAAATAAAAAAGGTTAAAACTGTATCAGCCCAGCCCTCCTGTCGACATGAAAACACAAAACACGCTATCAAGCGGTGCCAAGAGCACGCCAAACCACGGGGCAGCGATATGACCCTAACCTTAAAGCCACGTCGGCCAATCAGAGCCTAATAAACTTGTAAACGAAGCAGGCAGTGGCGTGCGCTCTGACGCCGACTGTCTACTCGACAACGCTGCAACCGGAGCTTCCAAAAATCTGCATCCTGGCAGGAGTTTTCAGAAACGTCAGTGACCTCATGCTGCGTTTCTGTGGCCGCGTGGAAAAAGTCACGGTTTTAAAAATACCCGTGTTCGTGTAGACGGCCCTCTTGATCAGCTGCTGACCCACGAGGGCGTCAGAGTCACGTCGAGTCCTGCGGCTCCTCCTGAGCCTCCTTCGGCCCGCTCTAAAGGGGCCTCCTCCTCCTCCTGCTCCTCCTGCTCCTCTTTAAGTCGACGTCTCTTCACCACCGTTGGTTGCAGGAACAGTAACGGGCTGTCCAGGGGGAAGGTGGGGGTGCACACGCCGCGGTCTCTGCTGGGCGCCGTCGCCTGGGTGGCTTCAACACACAAAGACACGAGTGACGCCGTGAGCCGGGCTCCGGTTCAGCAGTACGAAGGGTCACACCTGGTGACGTGCAGGACTACACACCTGTACTCCGGACGGGAGCCTTCATGATCAGCTGCGTGCCGACCGATCTGGTCTCGGGGGGGTCGGTCTGGGAGGCGACGTGTCTCACAGAAGGAAAGATTCGACAGGCGGCGTCCTGAAGAGGAAGCAAGCGAGAAAACAAGATCACCAGCAGCAGGATAAATCGACTTAGAGCAGCATCGTCGGTGTAACTTCCTGATTAACCCGCACTACCAAAGGTGGACAGGTGTTACCCGAGGTCTGTTGCCATGGCAATTTACGCCACATCTCTAAACTGCTCCGAGCAGGTTTTGTTCGTGGTTAACTCGAGGTTACTCTGCGCGTGGACTACACACCTCATCTGTACTCTGTGTTAATGATTAATACACGCCGCTTCATAAAACAAGTTTAGATTTCATCCTGACTTGTTTCACTGCGGCTGCTCTGAAGTTATTCTGAACACAACAGCATCACGTTCGGACAGCGAGCCCCGCAGCCTCGGGGATTTTAAAGAGGAATCTTAATTAATTAACGGGACAGGGTTTGCAAATTATCTGTCAGGCAGAACCCAAAGTGTTCAGGGTGACTCGCTCTCTTCCTTTTTGCCCATTTCCAAGGGGGTTCCTCAAGGCTCAGTACTCGGGCCCATATTGTTTTCTATTTATATAAACAATCTTTGTGATAATCTATTGGATGCCATGTATCACTTTTATGCTGATGACTCGGTTATTTACTGCACAAGCCCTTTAATCTTCAGCAGTCTGCTTTCAATATTGTTCAGAGCCGTTTAAAACAGCTTAAGTTGGTCTAAAATGCAGAAAAGTCCAAAGTAACGGTTTTCTCAAACTCAAGACAACTTCAAGCATCTCAACTTTTGAAGGAAATTAAATTGAGTTAGTTAACAGTTATAAATACTGTGACATAACAGAAATCTTATTGGCAACCTCTGGTTTATAAGCTTGAGATAAAGCTTGGCTTTCTCTACAGATCAAAATCATGCTCATCCATTCGTGCTAGAAAAAAAATACCTGGTGACGGCCGCTTTAGTTCCCACATTAGATTATGGTGATCTGATATATAATGAGCGCCTACAGAAATTGGATGTTGTGCATCATTGTGTTTTTTCCCCTGGCTGTAATTGTAGGACACATCATTGGACCCTAAAGCTCAACGGCCCTCTCTCTGTGCAAGAAGGTGCTTCATCTATGAGGCACTTCTTGGACTAGCTCCTATCGGAGTATCTTTTTAACAAGTACTCAAGGCCGTTATGGATTACGTTCAGAGGACGTCCTACACTTGTTGGTTCCCCGTGTCCGAACAGAACTCGGTAAAAAAGCCTTCGTGTTGCTGCAGCTTCTGCTTGGAACCTTCTTCAGAACTCGTTGAAACTGAGCGCCTTTATTTCTTATAGAGCGTTTGTTTCAACGGTGAAGGATCTGGAGCAGGTGAACATCGTTCAGTGTTGCTGTTTATAAAGTTGCATTCTGCCTTATTCAACACAGGGGCTTGTGTTATTTATGTGTACTTGATGTCTATGTGTTGGAAACTGTTCTTTATGTTCTTTAATGCTGCGTCTTGGCCAGCTCTCTCTTGATAAAGACATTTTAATCTCACTGAGACTCACCTGGTTAAATAAATAAAGGTAGTTTCTTAGATGCAGCCCATCTGTAGGCTCTGTTTTCCCAAACCAGGGAGCCAGGGTGAAGGTTAATAACCGAGAAAACAAAATCCTAGATGAAAGTGTGAAATTTACAAGAAGAAAAATCAGAAATTCCCTGAAATTAAAGTCGTATAAATATCGAAATTCACTCTGTTTTCTTCTGAACGCGCCCGATCCGAGTCAAAGTCTCTGCGGTGCAGGACAGTGACTGTGGGCTGAAGTCAGGAGTGTTTCCTCGCTGCTGAATCTGATGGCAAAGCTTATATATATATATATACACACACACACATATATATATATATATATATATATATATACACACACAT